TTTCTAGATGTTCTATGTGCCGTGTTGCTTTCCCTCGTGTTTAAGTAACGTAAAACTTTTGCTTTTTATGAAACCCACTATTTTTCAGTAGTTCATGAACGATTGCAATTGAGGTTGCAAAGTGGTGGTAAGCTCACAGGTAAACTCACTAGTACACAAAAGTCATAATTCATATAAAGAAGAGAAAATTACGCGCTCGAACAACACCACCAAAAACAACACGGTTCATAGAGCATCTGAAATGTAGATCAGTCGAAAGGCATTGACGGGCGCCAAGTAGGCGTCATGAGCGAGCGCTCATTGACGCTCTTCGCAGTGTGCGCACCGTCCGCTTTGTCCACAACGTCCGCAACTGCGCAAAGCATGAAAGCAGCCTAAGGCCGGGGTCAGACTTTGCGAATCCCGTGAGTCGCTGCCAATCGAGGGTACGAGCGATGCACCAGCGGATTGAAGCATGTACCAGCGGTCTGAACGATGTACCAGCGACTTGACAGAGTTTGAAAGTGGCGAGAGCACCTCTCGTTGGCACGTTTACTCTCGCCACTTTGCCGGGCTCACGATGGGATGAGAGAGCGAGAAGACACGAGGAACCGGGAAACTGGAGAGAGTGAGCGTGAGAGAGGGGTTCCACGCCAGTTTTAGGCACCGTCAAGCCAGTGGTACATCGTTCGAGACGCTGGTGCATCGATCGAACCGTTTTTCATCGCTCGTAGCCCGCGATTTGCTAGCGAGATTCGCAAAGTCTGACGCCAGTCTGAGAGAGATGAGAAGGACGGTTTTAGGGAAGTCGTTCGCCAGCTATGAAAACTTACATGAATCTGGACCCGACTTGCCAAAAGTTTAGTCGTTCACACCGCATGCGCAGCGTGTATCTACGTTGCTTACCGATTAATGCTTTGCCTTTAACTTTTCTAACACTTAACATCCTCTTCAGGTTCCTCACCGAATTTCACCAACAAATTCGAGCGAATGAGTGCGTAATGCTGTTACTGATGGCTATCGTCATATTTCGGCCAGACAGACCCAATCTTCGAGACACTCATCGCATTCGAGATATCCAGTACACCTACTATGGTGTGCTTAGAAGGTGATTGTCGAGGAGAAGGGAAAAGTCGTTTGGAAAAACACAAGGTTTCCGGGGGTTCCGCTTGGAAAAATGGACGCCTTTTACAGGGTTGTGGAATGTGAGTATACTAGCGGTGAAGCCGCACAGGTTTACGAGGCGCTCGTTCGCAAACTGGAGGAGCTGAAACATCTGAAAGAGGGCCTGGTCCGGATCTACTACGGATTCGATAGCCGTCAGTTGGATCCGTTAATTAAGGAACTGTTTGACATGATGTGAATGTCCTTTCCTACTTCACTTCCCTTTTTCTTGTATTGTATTGTGAATATGAATGATTCTCCATAAAATGTATTGCAATGAGAGATTGAACGCTTACTGAAGCCGACGTATGGAGCCGACTGTATCGTCGTTAACATATTCATGACAACGCATAGTTTCGCGTTTTCAGTCGCGTGGGATGAGTGGGATTGGTGCCGCCGTCTCACCACACATCCGCGGATTTGGGGTTCTAAAAAGGTGAGCATGGGAGACGTTCAGTTCTTCCTGGGTCAGATCACCAGAGCTGCGCGATCATTGAAGCCTAAGGTTGTGCTTGGGCTTAGGCTTAGGCTTAGGCTTATGCTTACACATTGGCTTATGCTAAGCCTATGATTGGGCCTAGGCTTAGTCTTAGGCTTGCTCGAGCAAATGAGTGGTGTCCTAATTTAGGTGACCTGACCTGAGGAGGAAAACCGAAACACACCCGGCAAAGGTGAGTGTGATAAATAATTTCGCCAGTGGCATAATACATATCACACTTCCGAGCAAATGATATGTTATTTCGATGAAAAGACAAGACTTATCAATTTTCGCAATGATCATCATAAGCATTTCTGTATAGATCGTTCTAGTAAATCACGTATTTTGCCGTCCATGATATTTGTGTTTACTTCTGTCATTCCTTCAATTTACATATTCATGGCAATAGAAGAAAAATTAAGCGTAAACCGAACCAAAAATTTTTGTAGGGTCCAAAAATATATCTCGAAACAAAGCATATCTAAGCTTTCCATTTTCATATTTACCTTTCCCTTTCCATTTTTATCTGAGCTTTGTTAGGGTTTGAGGTGACCACAATACATACTTAACTAAGTACTACTGACACGTGCTCACCTTTACTAGTGAATTTTGATAAATCCTCTTGAATTCTGGTGGTTTTTTCAATTGTAACCTTTGACGAACATTGTGAGGCATTGTATTATTTTATTATTGCCATGTCGTAGAATTAGGCACATTTAGTGCAATGGCGGGAGAAAGGTGATACTCAGTGGAGTACGCAGGCATAATCGCGCGGGAAAGTGGAGGCCCAAGGGATTGGGCTGGGAGCAGGGGCCAGTCGTCTTCTCTCTCCGATCACCGAGTGCCGACCGCCGATTGCTGTTGTCTTCTGTGGGTGCGCGTTTCGGAGCTGCGCCGCGGAGTCTGCCATCCCCATCGTCTATCGTTCCTCCCCCCTCCCAGATTTCCTGTCGCGAGGCCGGCGCTGAGTATCACCAGGTTCCGTGAGTACTTTTTTTTATTGTAATTGCTCTGGTGAACCCTTTTTTATAAGGACTTCCCACGATTCATTTTTTGTGTATTTGGTTTGTATAAGTTAATAAAAGATTTTTAACTTCTCCTAGTAGCACGTTCTTCGAACGGTAGTAACCTTATATACCACACTTGTTCAACTTGGGAGCCAAGCCGCCGTTCGAAGTGCGTACTAGCCGGGGAAAGTTACGATCTTCTCTCGCGTCTGTTTTTTTTGTCGTGTTGTATTCCGCACCAGCGTTGAAGCTCCTTGGCACGACACACATTTGTAGGAGATATTCTATCTGAAGTTCCTCAGCCAGCGTGTAATGAGCGTATCGAGTGTGTTTTGGATGCTGCGCGTGTCTTGTCCATTTGGTGGGATCCCGGCTCGATATCGCTGAAGGTGCAACGTATCATGGATCGTTCTTATCAGGTGCTGAGGCCAAAGGCAGTTGGATTTGCGTATGCTTTTTTTCGACATCGTTGCCTGCACGTTGGAATTATGGCCGGCACAGTCCCGCAGAGAGCATTGTTCTGTCATTCGCAGATTCAAGGATGGTCTTTCGATTTGACAAGGATTATCGAGTATGGCTGGAGAATCGGGAAACAGCTGGAGTGGCAACAGGTTGCGCAGTCGGTGCAAAAGGCTCAGGAGCATGGTCGTGTCGTAGTCGTGGTGCCCGAAGTTTTGCACAGGCTCAAGCACTGTTTGACAAGCAGCAACACAGTGATTTTCTATTACAAGTCGTTTCGGGAGGTAAGAGCTACGAATACAGCTCTTTTCGCGGACGATATTGGGAAAGTTGTTTATGTGCTGCCCCCCAAGGAGCCAGCAGATCCGTTCTCGTGGTTGCAGTTCGTTAATGCGGTGAACTTGTGGCTAACATGTGGAGCGCATGTCGTTGTAGTCAATGGACCACGAGCCTTGGAACTGAACAGCTGGGACAGAATGAACGAAAAGGCAAGGATCACTTGAATGGGTATTTAGACGCGTATCCGGCATTCCTCAGTCAACACATTATTTGATACCTTCGGAGCCAGGTTTTCTCAGCGCGGCAATGGCTTGCTTGAAGGTTGGATTGGTACATGACCAAAACAGGTGGTGGACGGTCGACCAGGCAGTCGAATTTTACGAGTTTCTGAAGCACCAAGTGAGAGAGTATGTGGAACTGGAGCTCGTGAAGATTCCGAAAACATCAAGGCCGAGAGGTGATCCGTCGGTGGGTCACGCATTCGTCAGGACGGCCGGCGATAAAAGATGGACGAATTTCTAAGCGCCATCTGAAGCGTGTTGAAAAAAGGAAAGTTCGGAGTTTACAGCGTGCCACAGAAAAGAAACTCGAGGAACTAAATATGGACTAATACAGGACTGAGCGCAGGGTTAACGAGATCTGAGGACAGATCTCATCCCAGAGGGGGAGCATGTTGCGGGTTGAGGTACCTAATTCTTGTACTAAAATTGTAACGCGCTTACCTTCATTTCACTTTTTGTGAGCATTAATAGTTCTCACTGTGTAACATTCCAATTGTCATTTTTGTTGTAGCGTGTCAAAGCATTGTATTATTTTATTGCCATGTCGTAGAACCTAGGCACATTTAGTGCAATGGCGGGAGAAAGGTGATACTCAGTGGAGTACGCAGGCATAATCGCGCGGGAAAGTGGAGGCCCAAGGGATTGGGCTGGGAGCAGGGGCCAGTCGTCTTCTCTCTCCGATCACCGAGTGCCGACCGCCGATTGCTGTTGTCTTCTGTGGGGCGCGTTCTGGAGCTGCGCCGAGGAGTCTGCCATCCATCGTCTATCGTCCCCCCCCCTTCCAGATTTCCTGTCGCGAGGACTGGCGCTGAGTATCACCAGGTCGTGAGTACTTTTTTTGTATTGTATTGAAATTGCTCTAGCAAACCTTTTTTTTTGTAGAAGTATTTCCCACGATTTTTTTTAGTTGATTTGTAAAAGTAATAAAAGATTTTAACTTACCCCTAGTAGCACGTTTGTTTCGAACGGTAGTAACCTTATATACCACACTTGTTCAACTTGGGGGCCAAGCCGCCGTTCGAAGTGCGTACTAGCCGGGGGAAGTTACGATCTTCTCTCGCGTCTGTTTTTTTTTCGTGTTGTATTCCGCACCAGCGTTGAAGCTCCTTGGCATTGCCTCGAGTGGCTTCAACGTAGCGCACTGCTAGCGAGTAAGTGGTTCTTTCTGAAGGAAACCCAACTCGCTGAGACCAGTGTGGTGTCTGGTTCCCACTTGTTGCAGGAACCGATAGCAGACACACCGTTTTCTAAGGGTAACCTCTGCCCAAATTTTTTCGGGTGTGTGCGAAGCTATCGATTGCTGCAATAAGAAGAGGCTAGGCACCACACCTTACCGACCGTTCCGTAATGGCTGAGTCAGTGGCGTCGGAAGACGCGTCAAGAGCACTGGATAACGTCTCTGTTGCAGGAGAGCCGGTCCTCCAGGCCGCAATGGACGTTGAAATGACAGAGGCTAATGGCGCTAAGAATGCTGAGCTGGAAGAGCTCAAGGTATGCAATCAGTTGCTTAGAAAACTGAAGGAGGCAGAAAGTTGCTGTGGTGGCGGAAGTAGCGCGACACTGGCGCAGTGGAGGATGTAAAGCGCGATAGATTTGAGGCAGGGGCGAGGGTCGCGATGCAGTCAGAAACCTGTAAGGTGGAATGGACACTATCTGATTGGATGAGAACCTCACTAAGAGAATTGCAACTGCTCTGCTCAACACGTAAAGGCCCCATCAGACAAGAGATCTACAGCCACTGTACCCAGCGACTAAGCACACCGCTAGGCGACAGGGGTATGACCATTAAAGGCACTGGGTATTGTTGGTACTATATGCCAGAGAAGAAGATCAATCACATGTGTGAGATGATGAAAAAGGGTCCGAGAAGAACGTCATTGAAGTTCTGAAGTACATACGAGAGCTGGCTACGGTGGTGAACTGGACTAAAGATGTCTACTTCCGCCACAATTCAGAGCTATTGCATCTTAATAAACGTCTGTGGCTCGAGCAGCTTAAATGGAGCGACGTAGAACGAGTGCTGCAAGGCGAGCCAAGACTAGTTGGCT